TGGAAGGGTGCAGTTTGGGAGAGCAGAGCCCGGTGTCCCCAAAGAGGAGACTGCCATGCCTTGGCAGTCCTTAAGCATCCATTGACTTGTTCTTTAGCATCTTGGAGCCATCACTGCTGCGACACCCCATGATAGGGATAAACTAGATCTTGGGTGGGGTGCTTTGTTTTTAAAAAAATCTGGATAGATAGATCTCCCTCTGCACCTGGCTCAGTGTCATGCAAAGGGATCAACGCTGCTCTCCCGACGGAGGAAAAATGTGCTCCCAGCTTCAGCAGCGAAGCTGCCTGCCCAGGGCTGCAAAAGCCAACGTAATTCTTCCGAACATGGCAGCAAAGGAGCCACTGACCTCGATGAACAAGTATCCTTGTACCCCTTAAACAGAAGAATATTGCTGGGCATTAGCTGATTTTCATCATGGCTAAAAATAAACAAAAATGGACAAGTTAAATCTACCCCGAGGAAATAATTCATGTTACAGCCTGTATAGAAAAACACTTCCCAGGAGACTCGAATCTACTGGTAAAAGATTTTTTTGCTTGCCTTTAATAACAGGGGTCACAGCAGGAGGGAGCAGTCAGGAAGTTTTTCTCCATCGTACCACACAGCTCAGGGGAAAAAAAAAAGTGAGCACTTCCTTCATGAACTGTTCTGTAGGACTAAAATAAGGGAAAGGTCTTTGTAATTGTAAACTCCTCTGCCAGTGGTTGGTACTTAAGGCAACATACTGACCTGGTAATAAATGGAAATTTTTTTCCCTGAACTAGTAACAATTTAATTAACCGTTTCCCACCATTTGTCAATTACAGATCCAGCTAGCTTTCATTAGTCTGAGGTCCTTAACTTGTCCAAAACCTGCTGCTCAGTGAGAACACACTTTGAGACGGCCCAGAATTTTTAAGAAAAAAAAGAAAACCGAGTTTTTACCCAATCTCCTATTAAGCTATGCACTCTGCCATGTAAAACAAGAGCTCTAAGTTTGACAGTAATTAGCATTTTGACCTCCTGAGAAGTCTCTTCCATTTCTAACTCATTTTTGCCGTTAGATTGCCTGCTAGCCATACACGCACCCTCGCACTCCTCACAGCATCTCAGCTCAGTCTCACAGTGCAACCGCTTCACAGGCAGACTCCGCACATCCAGTCCTTTCACACAGCACCCAGTCTGACGGGGCTGGACTATCTCCACCATTAAGATGCGTCTTCAATATGAAGAAAATGCCTCTAGCTACCCTATGTTGCCATTATTTCACATGATGAACTTAAATAGAGTTTTCCTCTTAGACACATGTATGCAAAATCTCTCTCTGTACACTGCCACATTGCCTGTTTTGCTCTATTTTCGCTCATTCTCCCAGCTGCATGGAGCAAGAACAGTCAGTCTCTGGGTTGCTTTTTCAGCTACAAGTAGCATAACCAGATCCCAAGTTCGTCACCCCAGCTCCAAAGGGCCATCACTGCAAATAACCCTCCCTGTGTGTTTATGGAGAGCTAGCAAAGCTGGAAATGTACTTTTTCTGCTAGAAAAGGCACCATGTGGAAGGCAAGCCCTGCAGTTTGGTCTCTGTGCTGCTCTCAGTCCATCTGTCGTCTAAGGAGGTAATTCTCTAAAGAACTGTAAAGAAAAGGAAGGAACTGGTGTTGATGCATGAGTGATATCAGTTTGAAATCCTAGTTTCCTGGCCAAAGAAAAAAAAAACCAACAAGTTGGAAGATTAAGAGGCGATGTCTTCCTCCAAACTCCTCAGACAAGTCTTCCGACCATGGTGACAAGCACTTACACAAGAGCATTAAATGCTCCCAAGAAACACGGCACCAAGCGCTGGGCGGAACAGGCTCCGAGCTGCCAGACTGCATTATTTTATGGGATTTTATTTAGAAAACTTTCATTAATCTCAGGCAGTGGAATACCACTGGGAGGGAAGTGCCTAAAATAAAGCAAGAGATGCCGGCTGCTGCTTCAGGGTATTTTGTCTTACTCGAAGGGCCACACGCTCTCCTCAGGACAAGAGCCTGGAAGATGGTTCCTGCTGCCCATGTTTGGGAAGGAGCGAGGAACCGTTCTTCAGGATGCGCCTGTCAACACGCAGCACTCGCTTCCCAAAAAAACCTCTCCCAGTTGCCTAACCAAGCATGGACACCGGCCAGTGCCTCTCCAGATACCGCACCTCGTCCCACGCAAACAACTGTCATGTCTAAAGCTATTTTGGCCTGTTAGCTGCAGCTAACCGCAGTTTGCAAACACAAAAATCCCATGTTTATACTGAGTGCTCCTGACATTTTGCAGGGCAGAGAGCACCAGCGGAAAGCCAGGAATGTCAGTGCAGGAGCTGGGGAGCCAAGATCAAAGCTGCTGAGGCTGGAGGACCAGCTCTGGTGAGGCAGAAGGGCTCGTGGATAGACACAAAAGCACAAAAACGACAGAGAAATCAAGGACAGGGATGGACAGACAACTGCAAGGAAGGAAAGAGGCTGTGGGCAGGAGCAGATGGGAATGAGCAAAATGGATGGATGGAGACGGTGGGAGGAATCCCAGGGGTGGAGGTGGGATGGAGACGGAGGGATGGAAGGAGAAGGGTTGTGGTGGAGAGCAGCAGAAGTCCGTACTGTCAAGAGAAAGGGCCGTATCCTGCTGGAGCTCATTGCCGCCCTGCCTGGGGAAACAAGAACACCCTCCTGAAAGCCAGTTTTGCCCACAGATGGCTTTACCCCCCACCCCAGAAATACACACCTTGTTTCTCAGCCTGAACACACAGACTCATGCTTCTCAGGGCATTTTGGGGGGAAAACCAGCTAAAATTTCTCAGGTGAGTGGAAACGTTATACTTTTTGCTGATGTTCCCAAGATAATGTTGAAAGGAAACATTTAACAAAATGAATCTATTTTCACTTTGGTTTGGCTTTCAATGTCTGTTCCAGAGACAGAAATAGCTTTCTGGCGAGTTATTGGCAGTTAAGCAAAGCCTCACCACCAAAATGTAATCTTCTGCATACAAAATCCGCATGAGCAACATTAGAAGCTGATGCTTCCAGCAGAGGATTTTTTTTTAAGACATCCTTGTGTATCAAGATTCTCCTCCTTACCAGTTACAAGCCAATCATGAAACACTAAGCTTTCAACAGAGCATGTGCACAGAATAACGTTATGAAAATGAGTAGTTTAGAATTATGAACAAGTATTGTCCCTCACTTGAATACACATCAGAAGTTAAATTTACTGTTCTAAGATCTAACTCGCACCAGCGGATTATGTCAGTAACGCAAGAGAAACCACATCAAAGCTGCCAAGAGTAGAGGCGGGTGATGTTTTCCAACAAACCACAGTCCATCAAAAATAGAGTTTTAAACCCAAAGTGGGCAGAAAACTTTCCAGAAAATGCTGCAACATTTTAGACTCAGTATTTTTTTTTCTCCTCCAAATCTTTAATCATTGGAGGGAGGAAAAAAAAAAAAACAAACAACAAAACAAACCCCTCAACTAAAAGTTAATAAACAGAAAGGAGGCAGGGGTGATGCTGCAGGACCTTGGTCCCGCGAGCAGGCAATACTCCATCCCCAGCTCCGGCCAGGACTGTAAACTGTCTGTCCAACAGCCAGCCTCTCTTAGCACTACCCCGCTGCAAGGAAACACTTGTTTTAAATACTTTATTGAAATGAACTTCAAAGAAGTTTCTATCTTATTTGGTATACACAGGCATACACATACAAAAGAATAGTCTAGTTTCCACTGCTGGCCAAGAAGCACTTTGGGGTTTTTTTAAGTCTTGTTATTTTTTCAGTTTATAAATAAATTCCTTGTTGGACAATAGACATGTTTTGGAAATCTATTTACGGACCACTGGAACCCAAAGTAAGTTTACAGTTTGAGCGCTGCTGTTTTGATCCCACAACAAACCTCCCTGTGCCGATAATGTGGCTGCAGCTCTGGCACTTGGCACGGGGCGTTCTCCACCATTTCTGTGGGTCCTGTGTCCTGACCTCCACGCACGGAAAAAACACAGACTTTTTTTATTCCGCCCTCCCCAAAGATGCGATTACATGGCTCATACATTGTTGTGAGGATTTAAAAGAACTTTAAAGAGATTTCCTATAAAGTTCCCAGCCATGGTTACAACATCGCTTACAGCATCCAGCCCCCGCTGAACACGTGGCCTGAGCTGCCTCTCCCAACCTCACAGCCGAGAGCCAGCACCAGGACAACAGAGAAGCAACACCTTACAGCGGATCTAGATCTTGCACACTTCTCAATTGAGTTTAAAGACAAAACCAGCTTTAAAAGGTTCTTTTACCATTTCCAATTCCAACCTTCTGGGTTCTAGATAAGGAAAAGCAACCTCTTTAAAGCGATTGTATTTTAAGCCACTGATGATCATAAAGAAGCTGTTTCATCGTTACGGAGGCAATTCTTTAAATCACGGGGGATACCTGCTTTGTGCAGAAAGGTGAAAAAGTTCAGATCCCCAGATGATGCTGCATTTGTAGCTGGATTTGTAACCATCAGTTCTTCAAACTGCTCAGTACCTTTTGAAACTTGATAAGCTCAAATTTAAACAGTGAACAGGAAAAGTGCAGCATAAGAAATCTTCAGCAAACACTGGTGGCAACCAGCAGCACCGTCCTTTTGCTCACTGCAGCCAAGGTGAAAATACCCAGAAAGTGGTTTCTTTGGAGGGAGTGGGGCAGCACGAGGGATGCTGTGCTGCTGCCAAGACAAATTAACTTGCCGCAGGGCATCCCGCAGCCTGAGCCACGCACTGCGACTTTAGGACTTGACCCCCTCTGCTGCTGTGGCTGGCTAACACTACAGCAATTCACAGCTGCTTTTTGGAATTAAAAAAAAAAAAAGTTGGGTTTTTTGGTTGGCTTTTTTTTTTACATTTCTCATCTAATTTCTAAAATGATAATGCCTTCCTCATTGAATTGCTAATGCAGAAGCTAATACTTGCAAATTAGCTGAAAAACGCTTATAATTTTGCCTCCCAGTCCAACATAATTTGTAGGAGTTAAACAGCACGACAGCTCAGCTACGTACTTAAATGTCACGGATTCCTGGTGGCCCCCCTAAGCTTGTTGTCCACCCCCAGGACACTACAGCAGGACTCCCTTCAGACATAAAACACCTCTGAGCAGGCTTGGTCCTGGCCTCCACCAGAGTTTTCTCTGTTTTTACTGCAATATTCAAGGAACCAATTTTTTGTATAAAGTGTTTTTGTGGTTTTTGTTCATATGAACAAGACAAATTTTTTCTTTTCCCCTCCATATTAGCTTAAAATTCAGAGGTGCCAGTTGTGGTGGTGCTGGTTGCGGGGACGGACTCGCCCCTCTGTGTACCAGCAGCTCCAGGCTCGGATGGTGTGCCCTGCAAACGTACAGAAATCCCCACAAAAAACACCAGTACTTGCTGCGGCTGGGGGCTTTTGCG